AAAAATAAATTGTATTTATTTGGTAAATAAAGTAAAATAAAATGTTGGCAAAAATGCTGTGCCTTCATCTGCTCACTCTGTTACTGATTTTTCTTGTTCTTTAAATCTGGATTGTTTTCAAAACCCCTTTGAGTACCACTGATCTGACAGGCAAAATGAAACTTTCATCGAGCCCTGCAGGTGTGCTTCCCACATCACTGTGCTAAATGTTTTTAATTCAAAACCCAAGAAACAATCTCACCTGGACTCATCCTCACCTGAACATTGTGGATTGGTATCCAGGCCGTCGTTTCTTGTCAAAGATTTGAGAAAAGCCAGGTTCTATCAGAGGTTTCTTCCTGTTAAAAGGGAGTTTTTTTCTCAGTGTGCCACTGTGCTATTGTTGGGGTCTTTACCTTACAATATAAAGCACCTTGAGGTGATGTTATATAAACAAAATTCAGTTAAATTGAAAAACTATCTGTGAAATGTTGTTTATAAGTAAATGTGTATATTAAAACTTCACTAAAGCTTGTCTCACTGCAGGTGTTCATCATGAATTCTTCAGCACCACCTCCTCCATCATCATCATCACCGGCATCAACATCTACCTCGATCAGAGCTGGGAAACAAACCCAGCTGAACTCCTCTTCATCCTCTCCCCCTCCTCCTCCTTTTACTCTGTCTCTCAGAAGTCCTGAGCTGCAAGCAGAGTTTCTAAGAGGTAACCTTTTTCCAAGGCTCAATTTTGTGTTGATGGATAACTGAACAGAACCTGAAACAGGGCCCTGAGGGGCCCGGGTGGTCCTGGGTTTCTGTATCAAACTACCACAGAAGAATTGCAAAACCCCAAATCTCAAGCACAAACAGCCACAAATGTCTTCTTATCTTTGTCTTTCCAGAGCGTCGGAACAAATTTAAGCCTCACAGCGACGACAGTGAATCCAGCGGGGTTTCCTCCACCACCTCCCCTGTGGCCTCCCCCTTCAGCCTCACTCCTTCCTCCTCCCCCTCCAGTTCTTCATCCCCCTCGCCGTCCCCTGGCTTCAAGGACAGACAAGGTGAGCCGGCTGGAAGTACTGTCCTAACCTATGTGAAGTGACTAGCTCGCCCTGGTGGAGAGGACCCATTAATAGAAAACATATCTCTGAGAGACTTTGGCGAGCTGTTACTGGTTTATTGTGCTGATGTAAAACAAACAGGCTCCACTCTTGGGTGTGGAATTTTGTGTTTTAGAGATTTGGTTGGACCCATATGAAAACTAAAATTATTGTCTTTGTTCAGCTCGTCTGTCACTGTCACTGTCCAGCCCCGAGCTCCTTTCTGAACTGAAGGAATCCAAAAACCGCTCCCTCCGACACGTCCCCGCGCAAAAGGGAATGACCACCGTTTTCTCAGGGCGAGGAAGAGCATCAAGACAGGTGAGCAGAAACAACGTTTCTCCGTCTGGCTCTCCAGCTTTCCTTCTTTTCATTAAGACTACAAACTAACCTTATTAAAACCTTACAACACAGCAGCCATGATGTAAAGATTCAGAAACATTTTAAAGCCTTTATTTATCTTATCCATCCATTTATTTTATAACATTCATAACCAATGTGTGAAACGATGACACTGAGAAATTTTGTTTATGTTTAAAAAATGTCTGATCACCTGTAATCCTTTGAAAGGCAAATCTTTCCACTGATGTATTTCAGTTGCTCCATACAGTCCTATTTTGATTTCATAGAGTTTGAGATGCTTCTAGTGGCTGACGGTTCTGGACAGACAGGCCAGTTTAACAGCTTTACTCATTACTAGAATTTGATTTAGCATCGTCTTGCTGGAGTAAGAAAGGTGTCGTCTGGATGGCGGCATGTGTTACTTGTAAACCTGCAGATATGGTTCAGCACTGGGGCCATCCAAAGAGTGACTTCCTAAAGCAACCAGGGATGTGTCGGTTTTCTGAGACAAAGTTAGGAAAGGATACATTTAAAGGAATTAAATGATCTGAATTAAATTCTTTAATTTTTCTTTTCAGGCGTCTGACTCCACTACACCCACCAAACCGGCCAATCCGAGGGTTTCTCGCTGACTTTATGAGCAACGTGTCAACCAGACTGTGAACTCTAATTCTCCGTATTAATAATTATGTAAATACAGTGTCACAAGCGAAATGTTATGAATGCTGAAAGTGTAAAAACTCATCACCCCTCACCAGCTCCTGAGCCATGTAGAAGACCCTGAAATAAAGTACAGAACAAGGCTCTGCAGATTTATATTTGTTCATCAATTAAAAATGTTCAGTTCATTTTTAGAGAAAGAAAAAAATCATTAATTTAACCAAATGTCTGGTCATGCAGGCTGGAGTGTGGACTTCAATCCATGACTTTGTTGTTGCTAGGGTATCTTGTCTCGCCACTTCAGAGTTCTGAATACTCAAAGGTATAAGGAGTGAAAGCTGATATCCAAGAGGTAAGTGTTGAATTGAATAATTAGGGTACTTGCGTAGCTATTGCTGTGGATATAGCTCAGCCGGGAGCGTCTAAACAGCAGTTCTTGAACTTTTTCTCTCTTGACCACAGTTTTTTCCCAATACTGATTGGTAGATTAGGATTCCACTTGCTGTCACATATATATGATCTTTAAAAGTTGTATTATTCATATTAGACATCAGGGTTTAAAATACTGGGGTAAATGTACTGTGTGCAATCCTTCCAATCAAAATGCTGTCTTCAATTAAAATGTCCATTTCAAAGATTTCTTTTGCTGCTTCCGTGGACCAGAGATCCACCAATCAGCACCGAGTGAAGGTACGCTTTCAGGGGTTAGGATTTTAAGGTTAGCTGTCTGTTAGACTTCACTGCACCTAACTGACAGTTTTGCACCATTTTTAGTGCAATTTTCTAACCAATAATATGGCTCCTATGCAATCAATTGACACACTGTCCAAGAAATTTATTCTCCAAGTTTGTGAGTGAAATAGGTTTTTTTTGGATGCTACTCAACAGATTGTCTCTGTGTGATGCAATTAGAAAAAAATTAATATAGTGGTGGAAAAAGTACTAAAATCAAGGCTTCAAAGCTGTAGGTAACATCACCTTGGCTACACCCGTATTTAAATTCTTTATTTTGACTCCAGAGACAGCCCAGGTCATACTTTTCTGTAATACCAATTTGTAACATAGGATGGTGCAGTAACAGTGCACTGAGTGGGGGAAATACTGGTACTACAGTCAGACAAGTACTGCTAGTTAGTGCCACCAGCACAAACTCGCAAAAGTAAATAAGAATATTCTTAAAGTAAAAACATAAATACTAGAGTAAAAATCAGAGTCGTTTTCTTGACAGTTTGATAGCCCCAAAAAAGGACTACTTAAACTATGTGACAGGTCTTTTTTTTTTATTAAAATCTCAAAACTTTATTCAGTCAGTCATCAACAAATAATTTAATGCAGTTTTTACAAAGCCAGAGACTTTTGATAAACAGGCACGTATAGAAGAAAACCAG